CTTGCAAAGTACTATTCACGAAGCAAACCCTTAGTGCAATTGTGAGAGGCTCATTCGGGCGGTACTTGTTGACTGCGAATGCACTGAGGCGCCGAGGCCATCAGTGTTCTAGAGGCTCTCTCAACAGTATCTTGAGCCAAGATCTCCTCACCAGAGATGCAATCGTCAGAAGGGGCAGGTCATCGATGATCTAGAGCTCCCGACAGCCACAGTCAACACGACAGGGAAGGGTAAATCATGGCATTCGGATTCATCAAATACTGAATATACCTTGGGATTCAGATGGACACCTGTTAAAAATGGGGGTATACACCAATGCACTCACCTTCAAACAGGAGCAGCTATCCTATTTGATTATGCTCGTTTGTCTCCCATCTATGATAATGAGGACGAGGTGTGCTCAGCAGCAGCAACATCTCAGACCTCAAGCTCAGCTTACGACAAGCACGCAAAGGTGCACATGGTGGAATCCTCGGAAGACTTGGCCAAAAAGTTTGAGGAGCAGCAAGTGACCATCAACTCTCTAAAAGAGCAGATGACACAACTTCTGAACAAGAAGAAGAAGAAGAAGAGAACTTCACGGAATCGGCAAAGACCCTCGAGGAACAAAGAGCGAGAGCTTACTCCTCCTCACACGACTGAAGAAGAGGATAATCACGGATCACGTTCAGATTATTCCTACAAATCTTCAGAAAGGATGTCCAGCTTTGGCGCACTCCTCGGGACAAGAGATTCGACGAATTCCATAGTCAGCTCAACGCCCTCAAGCTCCAAGAGAACATGAACGAGCTGAGGGTGGTTAGACCATATCCGCCCAAATGGGACATGGTTTCCTAACTGACAAAGTTCAAACCAATGAGCCTAGTCCACTTTGATGGCAGGGGATCTCCCTCCCAACATATCTACCACTTCCTATCTCAGACGGGATTCCTCACAGGAAATGATGTCATTCTCACCCGACTGTTCATCGGCACCCTAAAAGGGATAGCCTTTGAATGGTTTTGCAAGCTGGAACCAGGCTCCATCAATGCTTGGGCCGAAGTGGAGAAGCTTTTCTTGGCCCATTTCTTCGACGACGATACAGAAGTATCAATGGCCACCCTGCTCGCTGACAAGCAAAAGAAGACGAAGTCAGTCAATGATTTCGTGAAGAGATTTAGGATTCGATCGCTCCAATACCGAGACCAGGTCTCTTAAAGCACCCTGGTTGAGATGTGTCCCAACAACCTCTCAATCGACATCCTATCCAGGATCAGCACGGTGGAAACCTAGACCTGGAAAGAACTTGTTCGCCAGGGCGAGCAAGTTGAAAACATGATTAAACGAATGGAAGCTGAAGAGCCGCAGTCCAAGAACAATACTTCAGAACCAAATGCCTCTCGGAACCCTCGATCAAAGGGGAAAGAGATCATTGTTGTTCAATCTACTCCAACCCCTAAATCAGCTCAGCGCTCGAAGACCAAGCCGTATGAGCAGCGCCCTCCTAGGCCGACTTCGATGAGGACTTGATAGTGCCTACCTTCGACACTCTCCTCCTGAGCAACAGAATAAAGCTTCCAGAAATCATGAAGCCAAAGGATGCAAACAAGATAGATGACCCCAGCTATTACGCCTTCCACAGACTTGTTGGTCATCCCACCTCCAAGTGTTATGTCCTCAAAGACAAACTGCAAGCACTCTACAAGGCCAGAGTCCTGACAAAGGAGAAAGTCCAAAAGAAAGTGACGTCAAAAATGATCACTCTCAAATTTGGGATGGGCCTTCCCGAGGTTCACACACCGGCAGGTGTCGTACCCATCCCCAAGGCGGAACTGAAGATCGTCAATGATGACCCTCACAATCAACGAGGGAAAGGTTTGGTGCCACAAACTTTGCCGTTAGGACAGGTAATGTGGGTTCACCCCGATCACCTCATCGACAAGAAATGGACTTCTAATGAGTCCAAAGGCGAAGCTAAGCTTTACAACACCATCTCGGTGATCCCAAACGATAATGGGGCAGAGATAGCAACTCTCACCAATTTCGACAATGAGGTAGACACACTAATCACCAGAGCATGGAAGGACTTCGCTAAGAACTACCCTCCTATAGGAGAAAGTTCGGTAAGGCCTCTAGTAGGACCTCCACCAGCAGTCCAATCAAATCTTAATAGGCCGAGTTCGAGCGGTCGACCCTTTTGGTTCGACCTGCTCACCTACCTTAAGAATATCCCAGCCAGGATCACCCTATATGAGCTCCTGCGGTTATCTAAGACGATCTGCAAAGCCCTAGAGAGGCGCTAACTAATTCAGAAGCCTTTGCCACACATTTCTTACCCGCTCCTGAAGAAGAGGCAGAAATAGGATGTCCACAGTGCTGCCAAAAATCTGAACAGTGGATTCCCTACATCACTTTCACTCCGAAGGACATGCTCATTAAGAGCACGTCTCACAATCGACCCCTGTACTTCATGTGATACGTCGAATCCTCCCGAGTGAACCGTATTCAAGTGGATCCAGGGTCTGCACTGCGCATCGTCCCCCTAAAGCTCGTCAAGCACCTGAGGATACCTCAAAAGTGGTTGTCTTCGACAACCACCACCATCTTTGGCTTCAACGCCACCGGAACCCAGCCACTTGGGAAGATTCGTCTCAAGTGCCGACTAGGCTATATGAAAACTGAGGTGACCTGCTATGTCATCGACGCATAACTCTCATACAACATGTTGTTGTGTCGACCATAGATCCACAACAACCGGATAGTCCTATTCACACTGCACCAATGTTTGAAATATGTGGATGACTACAACCAAGTGAAGACGGTGGTTGCTGATAAGCAGCCCTTCAAGGGAGTTAAAAACTACTTCACCGATTCCTCACTCTACCAGGACTCTAAACTGGGTGACAAGTCCCCGGTGGAAGAACCTAGCAGTGGTAATGAAGCTGACGATGAGTCTGAGAACAACGAGGGTCTCATCTTCAACGACATCAAGCCCATTGTAATCAGCTACAATAACCCTGTCATAGCCAACGCTGATGAAGCGGACGGGCTTACCCTGAATGAAGAATTCGCATTTGCTTACTCGTCTTTAGATTCAGAATCTAATCGTGGCGAGTTCAGCCATCTAATTTCAAGGTTGTCAAACGAATCTACCATGCACTTGCCTGTGTACTCGTCATTTGTCACCAACAAGCAAATGATCGAGTCCTCACAAGCTGTCTTTGTCATACCTAGTCGAAACATTTCTCAGCAAGAGATTATCTTTGGAAGGATAGACCAACTCCGATGTACGTTGTGGGATGAGTCAGACGAAGACGAGCCCGCTCCTCAATTCTCATCCTACGGCCAAGTCACGAAGCGCATGATGAAAAACATGGGTTATGACTTCATCCGCAAAGAAGGCTTGAAGTACGGCAAGGGCCGAAGACGCCTCTCTGACCTGCCTACGTACCCAAAGGGAAGCCTGACAATTACTATGGCAAAACTCGGGCTGGGTTACTCCTCCTCTTCCTCAAAGTTGTATTACAATTTCAACAGAATACTGATGATGCTCATTCAGATGATCAATCGTCAACGTCCTCGACTTGGGATTCAGATGTCAGCATCGGGGCGTGTAGGCATCGAAAATTGCCGATAGGGCCCCACGAACAGCTCAGTGTTGGAGAATGACGATGAACGTCACTACCCGGTTCACAAAAATTCCAACGACGTTGGTAAGCGCCTGAAGCGAACCGACGGATTACGTGAGCCGACAGAATCTCAGAATCACGGGGATACGGATTGATCGATAACCCCGTGATCGTTGCAAACGGACCCACACCCGTCGTGTCCCGTTCTGATAATCCGGCCATTGGGGCCCACATAGCTCGCCGTTAGAATTCCAACGCACCCGGGATCACTCAAATCTGAGTTCGGACGACGAATCAACCGCGAGTCAACGGCGGGACAACGGCACGGCCCCGGGCTGAACCGGGGACACCCAAACAGGTCTCGGCAGGCTCGAGACACCCCCAAGGGGTTATCTCGGCCAATAGCCGAGACACCCCCTAAGGAGTGTCTCGGCCACAACCGAGACACCCCAAGGGGGGTGTCTCGGCCATTGTTTGCGGAAAAAGTTGCTGTATTCATTGCTGCATTCATTACAACTTCAATCGTTACAATGAAATAAAAAGGTAGCCTTTTTATAAGACCGGTACACAATGAAAACAAAATAGATACAACTCTTTTCAAACAAACGCAAGATCTGTTCATCATCTCTTGCTTGCGTGGGTCTTTTGCCTGTGACGGGGATGTTGATATCCGTGGACCACCGGGGCACTCAGATCTGGTCCGAGAAAATCCGGCGAGGCCCTGCCGGATCGAGGAGGAAGGACTTCTTCATCAGCCCCTCTTTCACCCTTCTTTTCCCTTAGTGTTGCCCTTAGAGGTGATACAAAGGAGAGCTATTATCTCGCTTTATCCGAGATATATGCTTACAACTTCTAAATCCCACGCGGATTGACGAAGTTCTGTTTCCATATCCCTCGCGGATAGACGAAACTCTGCCGGATTTTACCGGAAAAGATCTTGAAGAGTCGGCGGTCCACGGATATCAACATCCCCGTCACAGGCCAACAACCCACGCAAGCGAGACCGAACCAAAACGGGATCTCGTGTTTATTTTCCAGAGAGTTGTAACCTTTTGTTTTCATTTTAATCCTGTTGTAACGATTGAAGTTGTAACAGATTCCAAAGCAATGAAAACAACAACTTTCGACGAAAACAAGCTGGCGACCACAGTGGGAGCCAACGGCATCGCAACCGACGCCGTCGTGACGCAACCGACCCTCAAGATCCGGGTGAACGAAGAGGTCGAGTACGAGTTCGACCAGCAGAAGTACGAAGAATACCTCTCTTCCTCCTCCTCCAGATCCGCCTCTCCAAGTAGGCGCAAGAAGACATCCTCTTCCAAGAACGTTCATGGGACTTCCAACTCCAAGAACCAAGAGCCCTCCGCTGCCTTTGCACCACGCAACGTCCCCATGTTGCTCAGCGTGGTCAAGACAGCAAATCCAGCTCTCCCATCAACCTCAAAGGCGATGGATGATGCAACTCCAATTCTGTCCAAAAGGGCACTCCAAAGGCGTCGTCAATGCCTCGCTCAACAACTCGCCAAGGCCAGGGAGTCAAAAGATGGAGTGCGCTATGCAGAGGACTTGAAGTCAAGGCAGCGACAAGAGCAACGGCAAGCAATCAACCTCCCCTCCAAAACAGAAGCGAGTGAGTGGATCCGTGTCAAGAGGAACCGCTCCACGCTCGAGGAGCGAATCAAGAAGCGCCGTGCTTTACTTGCGCATGCCCGACTCCTCCTAAAGAAGGCGGAAGAAATGCAGCAAGAAACGGCGGTCAAAGCGCCGACCACAAGCAAACGGGTGTGGGTTCCCAAATCGAAACCAACACTTCCAGCAAAGAAGGGTGAAACCATCGCCCAAAGCTCCTCCAAATCAGGTCATGTTTCTACTATCCCGGCACCTTCAACGGCGCCAAGTAAGAAAGGGGATCATTCAAGATCCCAGGTTCCTTTGACAGGTCACCTCGGTCCCTTACCGGCGAATCGAGGTAGAGTACCCGTCAAAGAACGACTGGGACCATTGAAAGGTCCCCAAGTTTCAAATCAGACTGGGGGTCGATTTAATCCCCCCAATAAAGAAAACAAAGGGAAAGCCCCTATCACCGACCGCATCGGATTGCGAGTTGAATTAAAAGAGCCCGTTCAGTTCATACGCTCACAAAAGCGTAAGATTGAACGTGCCACTCTTGATAAAACTAACGAAGTGTTGCATCCCCGAAAGGAAACACACTCATCTGAGGATGAGGAT